CCCTACTCCTTTGAGCCACAGGTGCCACCCAAGGATTTTTAATATTATGTAGTATTATGTAATATACTGTTATATGTAGTAAACAATAAACATTCTGTTTATTTTTTAGACATCAGATATCAGACCCCATTACTTATTAGATCTGGAATTACAGGACTAGAAGTTACCTATGCTGCTGATGAGAAGGCACTTTTTCAAGAAATTGCAAATATAATAAAGAGGTATTGTTCTATATTTTCTGACTTTGCCTATTTTTGTTTAGTTTGTTCATGCTATTGCAGATAGTAAAAGTGAAAGTAGGAAAAAAGAAGAGAATCCCTTCCTGTGGCCCTTGTAAGTAAAGAGTTACCCCTGGAAAGATTTTGCACTTAAACCATTCCATCAAATAGGGGATAGGAAACACCAGATATATTTTATTCTGAAGATTGAGGGGCCAGTGGGAGAGAAATATTTGTTTAGCTGCTAGCTTCCCAGTTGGATTTTAGGGTGGTTTTTCTGTGGTACTGAAATAATGGAAAATTATACTAAAGTCAAATCATATTATTCATTAAATGGGTTTTTATCTTGGCAGCCAACCATGATTTCAGTACCTTTTTTAAAATGCTTTTTGCATTTTACACGAGCTAATATTTCCAAAAAGCTTTAGGATGTAATCTGTTCAGAAATTTAGCACTATCTGCTACATAATGTTGTGTACCCAGTTCCTTAAAAATCTCTTTTGACCAGTTGGTGTTGATCTTGAAGTTGATAGCAGACTATTGTCAACATTTATGGAACGGATTTTTTTTAAGCAAAAATACTTGAATTTAAAAATAAAATAATTAAGAGGGTCATTTATATTTTTCTAAGCGTGTAACTCTTAGTAACAGTGGACCTTCTTATTAATTGCTTCACTTCCTACAAACTTAAGTTTTCCACCGATTGCTAGGTTTAGGTATTTAAATGGTTAAAACAGGCTAGAATATACTCTTTGGATCCTGATGTACAGATAAAAGCTCTCCTTGAGCATGTTGTTACACTCTTCCCTTTCTGTTCTGCCTATATAGTCAAACTCTGTCCTGTAAAACCTGAACCATTAGTCTGCATTGAAGAACAACGTGATATTCTACAGACTCATTGTATTGAATCCCAGATAGGTTAACACAAACACATTTTGAAAATTAGAAAACCAGAACATCTATTTTGTACAAAACAAAAATAACAAAGCATCAGAGATGTTATGCTATAACCTATTATTCTATAGAGAAGGAAAGAGGAAAGTATTTTTACTATTTATACAAGTGGTACCTGGATAGATTGCCATCTAATTTGAGTCTTATCAGATGCTTTTAATACCCACACTTTTACCTCTACAAGCAGCTTACCAAAAGGAATATGTAAGAGTTTGAGTCACTTCCAGTTTGTGTATCAGCACATGTCTAATAATGCCCCTGGAATCTGTACGTTTGTCTTCTCCTTTTTAGGTATATTCTCAACAAGATCACCTGCTGATTGAAAATTTTGTGAGTCATCTGCCAATGCAGTAACTTTCTTAAATGCCCATAAAATAAAATAAATCATCATTAAGGAAAATAGGGGAAAGTAAACAGAACTGTTATAAAAAGAATAAAAATGCCTGCATATCAACATTTTAATTCTGTAGGGTCCTTTATTTATATGGGTCACTACAGAAGTTTTGAGACAGACTATGTAATGGCCCATTATTTCACGTCTAAGAAACGCAGTGGACAGCTCCCTTCTGCTTCACCTGTGCAAGTTTCAATTCGCTCGGCGTATTGGTGTTGCTGGAAAGGCTTCATTTGCTTCTGTCCTCACAAATTGTATGTTTCTTGGTTTTTGTGTATCTCAAAACTTTTGTAACGATCCCTGGGTAAGTCCCAAGAAACCCTCCAAAAAGATTTTTTCATTCTTTGAGTACTCACTCAACACAGGCTTTGGAGTAAGACAGCCCTGTACTTTTTTTGTCTTGAGCAACTTGTTTATCTTGCTAAGCTTTTACTTCCTCATTTGTAAAATGGGCAGATAATGCAGATAACACCCTTAGCTTGATGCCTGGTATATAGTTAGCACTTAAATGTTAACTGTAGTGCTAGGAGCTAAATATAAATACAAATAAAATGTAAATGCAACTTCTTAAAAGTTTTATCGGTTAGGTGTTGTGGCTCATGCCTATAATCCTAGCACTCTGGGAGGCAGAGGCAGGTGTATCCCTTGAGCTTAGGAGTTCAAGACCAGCCTGAACAAAAGGGAGATCCCTTCTTTACTAAAACAGAAAAATTAGCCAAGTGTTGTGGTGGGCACCTATAGTCCCAGCAACTCAGGATGCTGAGGCAGAAGGATCACTTGAACCCAGGAGTATGAGGTTGTTGTGAGCTAGGCTGACTCCCAGAAATCTAGCCTTGGGCAACAGAGTGGGACTCTGTCTTTAAAAGAGAAAGAGAAAAAGGTTTCTTATCTTATATCTATTCTTCTTGATATTTATTTCTTCAGGTTGCAACCACAAAAAGTAATGTAAAGTGATGTTAAAATAAGTAAAACTAAATTCATCATCTTGTCATAATCATTTTTCTCTTTTCTGTATTTCCTTGAACTTTTTCTTTTTTTTTTTTTGAGGCAGTCTCAAGCTGTCACCCTCACAGCAACCTCTAACTCTTGGGCTTAAGTGATTCTCTTGCCTCAGCCTCCCAAGTAGCTGGGACTACAGGCATCCACCACAACACCCAGCTATTTTTTGGTTGTAGTTGTTGTTTATTGGCAGGCCTGGGCTGGATTTGAACCCACCAGCTCCAGTATATGTGTCTGGCACCTCGGCCGCTTGAGCTACAGGCACTGTCCTTGGACTATTAATTTACATTTTACCCAGTCCCCATAATTTAAATATGATTCTTCCCTTTTCGTCTTACCTATCCTGTTACATGTACATCTTATCCATTTAACCCAGAATTATTTTTCAAGATCATTTCTTCCCCTTCATGCCCATTGCTGCTCCCTAGAGTACCCTGATCTCTCATGTGAATAGATGCTAGTGGGTTATTTAAATCATTAATTATGAAGTAGCTTTTTCTGCCTAACCAAATAAAACTATTTTCCTGTTTCTTCTACTTCCATGTTATCCACAGTTTTGTTTTGTTTATTTTTTGTTTTTTCTTTTAGGTCCAACAAGCTTTATTATAAGACATCCAACAATCTGGAGAACAGTGAGAGTGGCCTCTTATTTTTGTTCTCAGTTACAATTTTAGTAATTTTTAAAAAGGAAATAAACCTGGAAAATTTTAACTTTATCTGATAGGAAGTAACATCAAAGTAGTCTTCATTTTAACAATGTAAAATGCTAAAATAATGGAAAGATAATTTTCACTTTAACAAAATATCTAAGTGAATAATTAAAGAAAACATCATATCAAAGTAATCTTTACCAATATCACAACACTTATTATTTATATATGACTACTTATTCAAGTCTCCTGAAATAAACATCCTCACAGTTATGGAGAAATGTTTGTTTGTTATTGGGGGGGGGGTTGTTTTTAATTTGTTTGTTTTATGTTATCCACTAATCTTATCTACCCAACCTTGTTCTTTTTTTTATTTT